GGAACTACCTCATCAGAACCCAACACGGCGGTCCCTCAAGCCATGACCAAAAGCATTAATCAGGTCGAGGGGCTTGGGGTAGTTCGGGTTCAGGACATCGGGTCTTGTCACTGCAGCTGCGCGCTCTTGGATTTTCTCATACTGTTTTCGAAGGATCCACAGGGACCCTCCACGCCTCAACTTTCAACCCCTCACGATGACGGCGGCCTCGAGGCCGTCACCACGCAACCAGGCTGGTTCCTGCAGGGTAACACGCTCAGCTGAGGGGCTAAAGGTGCGCAGGGGGCGCGGACGCAGCCGGGCTTTCGGAGGGAAACTGCTTCAGAGCATGGCTTGGCAAGAGCTCTGCTATCCTTGGCTTCTTACTGCCGCCGCTGGAAACCATGGGCCCTTAACTCGCAACCCTGAACAACCCTCGCAAGCCCAGCCTCTTGAAGCCCAAAACCGTCAAGCGAACAAGAGCGGCAGCTGGGGCCCCCGGCAGCCTCGTCGTCGCTCATTGGCTCCAGCTCGGCCTAACAGTTTGCAATCGGGTTCAGCCCCTACACGCCACACAGATGCAAGGCTGAAGTCGTTGTGACCCCCCGCGCTTTGCAGCGAAGGCGCCGCCCATCAGTCAAATCCCAAAGTTCAGGAACATTTGCTTGTTCTTGCTTTGTCCTAGTTTGTTCCATTGTCTTTGCTGCCAATTTGCTGTATGCGTTTTGAATTTTAACCATGTGTGGTTTACTAACTTCTGTTTATGTGATGTTCCTTTTATGCGCAGAACCCGTGAACAAACACGTCTCCAAACATAACATCCCGCGCAAAAAGGATCTGCACAAGACACAGCAGAACAATACGCAAATCATACACTATCAACATCAGGCCCCTTTTAGCGGGGGAGAGGGGGGCACCTCGCCACCCGCACAGAAACAGTAAACAGTAACCCCACCCCCCCACCCCCCACACTCCTGGGAAGCTACCGCCTTAGGCGGATAACTTCCTTAGAGCTCTCTCAAAGGCTAGCTTTCGTGATAAGGTGATAAGGTGATAAGTGTAGCCTCCTGAGGTTCTGTGACAGGTTAGCACTGAAAGTCATCAGGTCCCAAAGCAGTTAGATCCGTTTCGCAGCAAGACCCACAAAAAGGGCTCCGTTCGGCAAGCGCAGGTGCCTGAAAGTCTTTCAAGTCTGGCGCGACGTCTTCGTCCTGCATGAATATCTGTTGTCGATACTGAATTGATACACGGGCCTTGCCCAAGCCACTGAAAATACTCAAACAGTTGCCAACCTCAGGGGAAGAGTAGCAGTTGACTAGGAATGTCTTTGAGCCACCCTGAGCCCTTGCAACCATTCGGCAAGTTACCAACCCTCACTCCGATAGGCTCTCGTCTCAAAACAACTCCAGAAATTCTGAACCGTTCTATCCATGAAAGCTGGGTGAAGGAACCCCAACCGCGGCCCCAAGTTCTCGCCTGATTTGCTTCGGACGGCGCGCGTGTGAGCTCAGAGCTCCGTTCTCCTTTACCGAAGCGAGGCTTCGCCAGGGAGGTGGACAGCTTGAGACTTGGTCAGGCTAATACGGGGGGGGGCCTGAATCATTAGAATAAGGTTTTGGGGGCTCTTGCGGCATACTTATGAAGGGATCCTGAGGGAAGACTAATCGTCACTATTCTGACCCAACACCCCTGGTAAGAGTGTAAGCCTTAAGGTAAATTAACTCTGAGGAGTCCCTGTATGCACAGCGCATGGCCCAACAGCAAGGCCTTGCGATCCAAATCATTTCCTGTCTAGGAGGCGTCCCCTGCTTCAAAGAACAGAACTCGAGGAACTGAGCCTCGACTTTAGACATGCCTGTTAAACCATCACGCTGAGGGGCAGCTTATATCCCACCCCTTCTAGACTGGGGTCCGCCCTCATGTACTCTGCCACAGAAGCAAGTGCTCTAGAAACACAAGAGCAAGTTGCGGGCGCCTGGCTCCGGTTACATGATGCGGCCTTATGTCTGGGGATCTTGTCTCCTGGATCTGTTTTGGGAGTCCCATCTAGAAGACGGCCCGATGCTTGGCACATAAGATTTTGAGAAAGGTAATATAGGGGCCTTAATAATTCGAACAGGGTTTTGGGGGTTGTTTGATATAACTAAATACAAAGGGACCATAAGAGAATGCTATTAGCAATTATTCCGACCCCTATAGTACATCGTGAAGACACAGGGCTCAAGCACGCACGTTTTGACAACGCGGCGGGTCATTGGCGAAAACAGTATTTCTTCGTCACAGGAGACTGGAGAAGGAAACCCTGCGAGGGGCTCTTGTAAAGAGGCGTGCTTTGTCTCGTGAATAAGTAGGGCCTGATAAGGGAGATGCTTGGAGTTGTGGTGCTGTATAATTGACATAGTGCGTAGTTCGCCAAAGACATACCATAAAGATTTCTGCGCTCTCCGACCTTATCTTGAATCCTCGGAACTCCAGAATAGGTCCGTTATCTTATTCGAAGCTCTCCCTTTAGAATCTTTAAAAACCCGAAAAGCAGCATCACACGAGGTTCTAAGCCCCAAGGCATTGGGCTGCGCGAATTTCCTTTACCTCTTGGCGCTTCAAGCGCCGGGTACATGAGCAGGAAACACCGGGCAGTTGTGAAAACAATGCTTCGGGGCTTCTGTTTTAAGTCACCCTCCAAGGCACCCCTGAAAGAACAACCTCCAAACCCAAGCCTCAGGTGGATCATGCTTTGCGGAAGTGAATCACGAGGACGCGTTGCGCGTGTTTGGGGGTCACACGATTTGTTCGTGGGACGGCTCTGAGCACAAAGGCTATGCCAAGGGGATACTGCAGGCGTTGAACGCACACAACTTGAGTCTCGGTCCAGGTTTGTCTGGCGTACTCTTTCCGTCTCTGTTGTGTCTAAATGACGTAAGCTTTGGGTGAACAGTGGTTTCGCATATGCTCATGCCAGTATTACATGCTGACGCACGCGTGCTCGACCTGTGAAAAACTTGATGCTCCCGGACCTGCAATAACAGTTTGATTGTGGATAGTTTGATGTGGGTCTCCCAGCCGCAGCCCAATTGCAACGGCCTTAGTCCCGGCACTGCATGTTGACATAAACTGACTTGTGAAAAATGGCTTGGGTCTGAATTGCCGGGGGGGGGGGGGGGGGGGCGAACACGTGTCAACCCAACCGAACACAGCTCCAGAACTGTCGCATTTCTTTTGGCACACGGCTGCGACAATTGCAAATTCTGCAAGTTTAGGTCCGGCAAGCGCCAAAGCATACAAATAGACTGGGCACTGAAGCAAATATAGCCCCCTTTGCCACGAGAAAGCCAAAACAACGCCAACCCATCTGGCGCATGCCATGCGCTTCTTGTGTCAACCTGCAGTGCTGGGGCTCAAAGCATCGTCAACCCCATCGGTCTGCACAACTAACCAAAGCAAGAATCAAACAGAGTCGCAGGTAAACGTGCCATGAAACTTGAACTTTGGCGTGTGCATGCCACAAGCTATGCCACACCAGGCATTAAAATCCCAATCTTTCAGGTCTAAGCGAAATCGACAAGCCCCCAGATTTCCGAAAAATCGCAAGAGAATCCGCCGAAGCCTCGGGCCATGTGATTGAAAGAGACAAAAAAAGAAGAAAGGCGAAGAAAAGAGGGAGAGAGGGAGAGAGCGAGAGAGGGAGAGAGCGAGAGAGGGGGGAGAGAGCTGGCCAAGTGACCGACCCGCGCATAAGAAAACGAACCCGCGCCCCAGCTTCGTGGGCTTGTGTTATTTCGCCTCGAGCCTGGAAATGAAGGCATCCGTGTCGAAACAACAACCCGAACCCCACAATGTTGGTTGGGCTTCTTGGGCTCTTCATGGCTTCAATCCAGCAGCTGCCCAGAGGAGTGAACCGATGTCAGATCGAGCGGGCCTTCCGCCGCGGCAGTTTGCTCCGAAGCCGCAAGACTTCTACGTACGGTTGACATCTGAATCCCCCCCGGAACCCAGAAAGCCACTCATCCCGGCACCTGGTCCGAAACCCATCAAGAGCAAGAATGTTGAAGACTCCGACATTCGGAATTGGCTCCGGTCATGCGTTGTGCTGCGCAGTACTGAGAAGCCGAGTTTTAATGCTCGGGGGCAATGCTTGGGGGGCGTTTTGGGTGTTAAAATATAGTGGATTGTGAGCGCGCTCCCTGTACCAAGGCCAGGTCTTAGGATTCCAGAGCACACTTAACCCAGAACATCCCAGAAATCTCCAGAACTACGCGGTAATTACGCCCAATCAAGGCCAGAACTGGCCTATACACATGAGGTATCAAGAGGTCCCCCGCCGCGACCGAACGCCTGCTCGCAGACGTGACTGGACATGCTGCCACTGGAGCACGCAAACTTGGAGGGATGGCGTTCGGGATGTTAATCCCGAGCTGGTCTTTGTCCGCCAGGGCCCCCAAGATGCCCACAGCTCTTGCTGACGCAACTCCGAATTGTTGTGGGTCATGGTCCCGCGATGTCCTGCGCCTAGACTAGACCAAACCAAACGATTCAAAGTGGTTTACGACCGGGTGCCGTCAGCCCTGTATCCAAGACAGGCGACTGCACTGCGCCTCCAAGAAAAGTGCAGCAAATGGGAAAAGGTTCAAACACCAAAAAGCAGCGACACCTCCCGGCAACAGGATCTTTGTGGTCTAGCGAGCACCGAGAAAAGAGCTTCTTTAGGGTTTAGGGTTTAGGGTTTAGGGCTTAGGGTTTAGTGAGGGTTTAGGGTTTAGGGTTGAGGGTTTTCCATGGATACGAGGTATATCAGGTAGAGGGGTTGAACAATTAGGTTCGGGGCCAGTCACGAACCCGGAAATGCAAACACCAAGTCGCATTCACGCTAGCTGCGCCTTGTATGAAAGGCGCGTCTAGAGTCTACACAAACGGCAAAAAATTTAAGGAATACTCTAGGCCTATACGTCTACAGTTGAAAGCCTCAAACCTTGTTCCATCTACAGCCCAGGACAATGGCAGGAACAATCGAACAATCGAACACGTCAGAAGCCGCAACCCATGCCGTCAGGGACAAAGTCGTCCATGTCGAACCAGTCCTGGGCATTTCGAGGAGGGGAATTAAAGCCCAAGCCCTGGCCCTGTGTAGCCCTCAAAACAGGTAAACAGGGCTTGGGGTTGGGGTTAAGAGCGGGCTGGCTTCGAAGAGCGGGCGCTAGGAAACTACGTAGAACAAACTGCGTGAGAACATGCCTGGACCGGCTCATGCAACACCCTCAAGATTCTGTGCTGTAATTGTGTATTTTACGGGTTTCATTTTCTTTGTTGGGGGGGGAGGCTTTTGAAGCAATGCCTCCCCCCCCCCTTCAAGCAGGCCAAGCGAGACCTGGAGCACATTCCCGATTGCATCTCATGCATGCACTCAAATGAACCGGTGGCTCCAAAGGGGCTCCTTATCAGCAAAAGAACAATCTGCGAAGACTTGACCCGAAGTGTGCTGAATCCCAAGCCCACAGCCCACAGCACACAGCCGGACGTGCAGGCTGAAGGACGGAATCTTGGGTAGTTCCATGGGCCCTTAACATCCCTTAACATGGTCCCTAACCTCCTTTAAAGGGTTCTGATGTAAGAGCCCTTCATTTGTACAAGGCATAGATGGGGCGCCAAGTGACACTATCTGAATCCTCAGCTTCGTCGAGCTTGTTTTTCTGTAGAACCTGGGCGAGCGTCCCAGAACTTCGGGCACAGGTTGAGCTGGGATGCTCCCCCTGGTGCTAACAGTCCTTAATAGGGAGTATAGTACAGTCCTTAATAGGGATTCTAGTACGCCCTATTCTCATTCCTATTAAGGACAGTCTAGGGGCAAACATCCCAATTCCCAGCGCTTTAGGGGTAGCATTACGGGTGGATGGGTGGGCGAAGCATGAACCGGCTGTCTTTCGCCAGACGAGATGGACCAGGCCCTACTCACCCTCCCCGAAACGATGGATCTTCCCAATCCAATATATAAAAAAAACCAACGAACTTCCAACTTCATCGCAGGCCGTGCGCGGGTGCTCGCACGAGAACTTTTTTAGTAAAAACTCCAGATGCCCTTCCGGAAGAATCTGGAACCCACGGACTCAGAAGACTGGAGACCTACGGCCTCCTAAGTCGATGCTGTCGCCCCGGGCCTGAAGCTTCTTGTACAGCTTCACCACCGTGCTATCTGGATTCACCGCATGGTAGAACTCGCCGTCTACCTCTTGCCATGCTTAGAGCTTCGAAAAGCGTTCCGCCTTTGCGGAGAAACTTCAGGACAGGAGAAACATGTCAGGGCTTGGAGAGCGCTCCATGGAGCCTTGATCCTTGGATTGAAGAGCATATGGGATATGGGGTACCCTTTTATATACACAGTAGAATCCTTGTTGTAGGAACTCCCCCAGAAGGGTCCGCGGAAACCCCCATGTGTAGTCCAGCGGCGGGGCCCTCCTTTCTCATTGTGAGGTGCCCGTCCGAACGCGCAAATTTATGAAGGTCTTTTGATGAGTATGCAGCCACTCAATGGGCCATGATGGATCTAGCGGAGCAATGGTCAGAGGTCTGCCAATAATGCCCCTTACCCCTCTGCTCTCCCCCGGCCCTTCATTCTTTGAGTCCCCTGTTGCGGCCGTGCTGCCCTGTCTTTCCACCCGCACTGTTGGCAGCTTTCGCTGGCATAATATGGAGTAGGCAAGCCCCCAAACAAGCATTGTTAGCATAGCCAGAGAGGTCCATCGATTGCAACTCTTCCGAAAGCGGCAGGCCTCAAAATAGATGTTCATGCCGTCCTCGTTCTTGAAGTACCTGGGAAAGCAAATTTGGTTCCGGGCATGGAGAGTGGGAATGGGGGGAGTGCGAGAGGGGACTGTTCTTCCATTTCATTGCTTCCAGGCCCGAGCCAAAACAGCTATGACAGAAACAGAACGGAGCCAGCCCTGAACCCTCAAATCGCCACCAGGGAAACATACGCAAAAGTTTGGGGTAGAACGCCAAGTGTGGTATGAGACGTATAGGAGTTATTTGGAGGTTTACGAACATACGGGACCCCTAATTCTGAACCCCAAATGGTCGGATCCACTTGTGGTAAGGTACCCCGAATATCGTAAACCCCCATTTGCATGTCAACGTGCGTGCAAGTCAGGTGCAAGGACCTGGTCCTAAGCCCGGGGTCATACTTCACTGTAATTATTAATACCATTACTACTAGTATTATTGTTACTACTGGTATGATTATCATTATTCTTCTTATTCTGATTCTTACAAAAGCCACCCTCGGGTGCAACAATGGGTGGGGGCTAATCCAAGCAGATGTGGAATGAGGTCTGCACTCGAGGAAGTAAGATCCGGCTTGGCAAACTCTTCTGGCCTGTACGAGTTCCGGCGCAGTCGGGGCTACGGGACGTGGACAAGTGTAGGCTTTGGCTGTGGGCCGTGAGCAGTGGGCCGTGTGGGCAAGTCGAATGCTCAGGGATTGCGTTTGGCCAACGAGTTTCTACTCTCCAAATGCCTCGCTACCCGAACTCTGGGTTGAGCCATTGCAAGCAACTACACTGGCGAACGAATTTTGTGATAAAATAGGGTCAGCTATAGTAAATATAGTGCTGATACAAAGACCAGGGGACCGGAGGACCAACCCTACCAAGGGACCGAGCCTCCTTTCGGACCCACAAACTATCGAATCTCCTAAACCCTATATAAAACAAACCCTATAATACACTAAGCCCTATAAACCCTCTAAACCCTGTAAACCCTGTAAACCCTATAAACCCTATAAACCCTATAAACCCTATAAACCCGAAACCTTATAAACCCTCTAAACCCTAAAGGCCCTAAATCCTAAAGTCCGGGAGCAAAAGTCTGGAATTGTGGGGTTTGAAGTTTAGGGCTGGGTCCCTTTACAGTGCTGCCAGGTACAAGAAAACATGCACTGTCACAAGCTTGGCCTTCTTTTTGGGACCGATAAGTATAGTCGGACTAGTTGTTGGCGATGCTGCGCGACTGTAACGGGCACGGCAATCTTGCGACTTTCCTGAATGCGCAAAATGAACGTTTCCATCGTCCATAACCTAAACATGCACTGGCCTTCTAGCACATTCTACCTGACCCCAACACAGTAACACAGATTGCCGGGAGGAACCGCTCAATGGCCTAAACAAGTGAAACAAGGAACCATTGGAAACATCCATAAACACGGACCCACAACCCTGGAACCTCAGCCCTTATCGCTGGACCTGGTGGACGAGGTTGTCCAAAGCGATGTTCGCGATCACGGGCCTGGAGCGGATCGGTCCGAATGCCGGTGCTGAGGGCTTTGTGGCTTCTGAGGTCTGGCTTTAGAAGCTTGGGGCCTCGGGTTTTTGGAGTGGGCTGGAGTGGCGTGTTACTGTTAGCAATGCCTGGATAAGCAACGTGCAACCAAGTCTTGTGGGCTCCGCGTTTTGGTTACCTGGGTGTTTTGCGGTTGGTTACCTGCGCGTTTTGCGTGGGAGCATCTGCACTTTGGGCCTCCTTAATGGGTTCGGTGGTTGGGCTGCGCATGGTGGTTACCTGAGCGTTTTGCGTGGGAGGGCTGCTTCCTACGAGCCCTGTCGAAACTTGGGCTGAAGGCCCCGCCCAATTTGCAAGGCACTTTGAAACCCACAGAAACACCTGCAACACACACACACACACACACAAACACACAGACACACACACACACACACACACACACACACACACACACACACACACACACACACACACACACACACACACACACACACACACACACACACACACACCCCCGCACACACACACACACACACACACACACACACACACACACACACACACACACACACACACACACACACACACACACACACACACACACACAGAGAGACAAGATATGGAAAAAACAAAACTCACAGAGTGAACTATTCCTGGACCTTAACACTGCCTTGCGCCCTAAGCTCTCCCACTGTTTAGGCCCGTGGCAGAGTTACCACCTCCAGCTTACCATCGCCCGGGTCCTCCGCAAGTTTGGGAACTTGAAACCCATCCAAACACAACACATGTAAACCCAGGAAAAAAAAAACGCCAAAACCCTAAACCCAAAACCCTAAGTGGTCGGACGTTTTGTCCGGGAAAGGACTCGCAGAAGGAGAAGCGAAAGCAGACGACAGGGCCACCAAACACCCACGCAACAGAGGGGAGGGGAAGTTGCCTCTCCCAAGTGCGAAAGCAAAAATACATATTGTATATCTTTACTTTGGGTTATCTTATGTTGTGCTTTTTCAGATTATGCTATATTAGCTTATGTTGAAGCATATGATGCTGTATTACATGGCCCTTGCTTGGGGGGGGGGGAGTTGCTGGTAACGTTTCCGGGTCTCTCGCCGGGCATCTGGGAAAAACGTGCAAACCCACCCTCCAATCCGTGTAACAAAAAAAGACATGAAAGAGACAGAGAACTAAAGGATGAATGTCTAGGTCTTTGTGTGGGCAAAACACACAAGCTAAAATGTCACAAAGCCGGGGGGGGGGGGGAGGGGTTCTCCAGGTAACATTTCCGACCCTCCAAAATGTTTCCACGAAACCATCGGAAACTGACGCAGCGCCCACCCCCCCTTGGAAACATGTCTTAAAGCAGGGCCATTGTAAAACATTATCTTTCTTTTATATTCTACATGTGTACATTGTATATATATATGTATTCATCCACCAAAAGCACTTGAAAAATCAACATGAATGATGAAAACACTGGCTCCCCTGTCCAGGAGAGCCTCAAGCTGGTCCCGTCGCAAAATGTTTCTTGACATGAGTTGCCGTGGAAGATGAAGCCTGAGCCGTGACTTCGGGTCCTGCTCGTCACTCAGCGACCCTGAGGGAGGTGGTGGGTCCACTCCCACATCACACTCCTGGCATGCACAAAACTGAGAGACGTTCAGAGCCTCCGAGCTTGAAACTGTCATCAGCTCGTGCGTTCTGAGGATGACACGTGCTCGAGTTGGGGTTTCAGGTTGGGGGTTGCTCAGCACGTAGCTTAGGGGCGGCTTGGGGAGAGAAAGCAGGGAAACAACGGCTCACCGGGACCAAGACATCGCTGTCATCGTGACCATGATCATCATCAGCAGCAGCAGCAGCAGCAGCAGCAGCAGCAGCGGCGTCATCATCATCATCATCATCACCACCACCATCAGCATCAGATCATCACCATCATCACCATCGTCATCCTCATCATCCTCATCACATGTGCTCTCCTATCTTCATCCGTCAAAACAGTCTGCTGGATCTCCACTACCCCTCAGAGTCACTCGTAGGAGCCAATGACAACATGATATGCATAGCATAACATGGAGAACCTGCACCCTCGAACTCAAAAAACGCTGCTCTCCACGGGCAATCTGCGGCCAGACGACGCTCTGCCACAGGTGCGCCTGGGTCATGGCCGTAACCCTCAAACTTGAATCGCTCAACCCTAAATTAAAGCTTTTAGCCTGGCTCTTAGCCTTAAAAATCTTCCAGCCCAAAGATCTCCAAAATCCAGAACCGCGAGGAAACATGGAGGGCTGGAGGGATCACCACCTCTTTTTCCAAGGGGGGGTGGAGAAGGGATTGAAGGGGCCAGAAATTCGCGGGACCAAGTTGCGCTGAACTATCGGGTTTTGAGGTGGGGTTTTGAGGTCGGACTGGAGATCTTGCCAACCTGAGCATCTTCCAACCATCCCAGTACAACCACATCAATCTTGTGCAAACCGTGCGCCTTTCCCCCAGCATACGAGTTGATGTTGAGGAACATGAGGCTCTCAGGGTTGCCAATGAGCTGCGGCCTGGGATCCGCAACCGCACGACTTGACACCCCCTTTCCGCATGAACGTACCTGAGAAGAATCCTGAACGTGTCGCTGCTGTACTTCGCAGCCCGTGTCCACACCAAGCGCACGCGTGTACACCTGCTAGTACAAGATTCCCCTCACTTGTTGATCGCACCAAGATTCTCGAGTGCATCAACGCAAGGAAAGCTACGTCCAGCAGCATTGCCACATGCAAGCTTACTGGAATCAAATTCTTCACTTTGTGCGCTGTATCATCCAAGTACGCTACGCAAGCCGGGGCCCCGTGCCCTGCTTGGTGCTCTGAGCTGAGCCATTGCCACCAAAGAAAAACTTGTGGACCCGACCCTTTCTCTTCCTGTCTCTACCCTCCCTCCTCTCCCCCCTAAACCCTAAACCCTAAACCCTCAACCCCCTCTGAGAGCTCGGGCTCTCCAGCATCACCTTCGCTGTCGAGAATGAGATTCCTCAGCGGCTTTGGACGTTGACAGTTGCGGTTGTTGGACCTTACAGCGCCACTCCCTCACTCAAGAGTGCTTCGTGGTCCAAGCTGCACATACAAACGCTGTGCAGCTTGGACCAAGACACCCAGCCGAGCAATCTAAGCCCCGAAAAACCTCTGCCCCCCAAACATCTCACGGCACCAGGGCGCCGTTTCAAGCGCAAAGAGGCTTTTGATTTTTGGAGAGCTTCTGAGTCCATTCATGAGGTTTCGCGGGAGCCCGGGCGGCCTAGCCGACTGTTGGATTCGCATGCGAACTTCCAGGTCCCAGTTGAATGGCATGACAGGTACTAAGCTAAGTTCAAATCATATATATATATGGCCCCCAAGGATGTTCGTCGGTTTTGGACTCCAGGTGGTCGACAAACTCGACTAGCTCAGCTTCGCACGCGTTGTCTTTTCTGTCTCCCTTGTACAGGTTGGCCACGAGGTTGCCGACATGCTGGACGCCCCAGCACCTGCGGTAGGACAAGAGTGTGACAACAGCTTGTTGAGAAGATCTCTTACTTCGCCAAGTTGGGGCTTCAGACACTGACATGTCATGACAGAGTGCGCTGCTTCAACTCTACAACCCCGAAAGCCAAAATTCATAAGTCCCAACCGAACCTCCAAACATGGCATGTACCGATTACCGCCCAATCAGTCACAACGAGAATTGGTGTTCTACGTTTGTTGATATTGACCTCACAGGATTCGTTGCTTTCGAGTTATCCTGCAGGTGCTGGAGAGAGACAAAAAATGGCCCCCCGCCCCCATATGCGTTTAGGGATTGTGGGCCTGTCGTAGGATTGGGAGGCATGCTTGGGCTTACATGCTTGAAGAAGTTTTGCCACATAACCCCAAAGCCCAGACAGATGGCCTCAGCTCCTGAACAAAGCCGGCGGCACCTGGGCGTCTAGTGTTTTTTCTAGCTTTTTGGGGCTTAGGGTTAGGGTTTAGGGTTGGGATCGCAGGCATTCATTGGGGACTCCCACAAACGACTCACGGGGATCCTGATGTTGCGAGCAAATTCAAGCGTTTATACGGTCTGGGGGGCACACGCAGCGTTGTCTTAAGACACTTGCCTGCAATACTATGGCCTGGGTTACGCCACTTTGAAGCGGCAAAAACTTTCGTGGCTTCACAGCCCCTCACAGCCCCTCACAGCCCTACCATTCGGGGTTGATGGGCTTGGAGAGCTTTCCAAGATCTTTCCTCCATGAACTCTTCAAGGAATGCCCCCGCACGAAGCAAGCAACTCGAGCCCGAAGCACCTGAGGAACCTGAGGAACCTGAGGAACCTGAGGATGCCCCTCTCAGGGGCTTTGGGTTTAGGGTGAGAGTCTGGGCTTGGTGCTAGTAGAGGTTAGGGTTTTGCCCCCCCCCCCCCCCCCCCCCCCCCCCCCCCCCCCCCCCGCCCGCCCTACTTTTTTAGACTTGCTCTCGCGCATCTCTCCGGAAAAAATAGGGCAATCTTGCAGGCTTGCTTGTTAAACGTGAGCCTTATTTCAGGGTCTCTGGGTGGAGTTCGCGATTTTGGAGGGTTCGAGGGCTTGGGGATGGCAGCTGTGAAGTTCTCCAAACTTCAAAAACACAATCCAGCCCAGCGACCATAGACGAAGAGGTTGCACGTCTGGCTCTTGGTGCGGTGCTTGTCGAAATGCATACCGACCTCCGGTCAAGAAGCGGCGGCTCTGGCGTGAACAACCAGGTGATGCTGCTCCCAAAGCCGCTTCTAAACCTGCAACCGCTTCCCCTCTTGGCTGCACTCAGGAGGGTAGCTATAAATTAAACTTTTAGCTGCCTTAATAAGAAACCCAATAAACCCAAAAAAGGTAAGGATCTAAAATTACAGTAAAGTACCACAAAGCCCCGTGGCCCCAAAGGCCCAGAGCGGCTTCCGAAGGAAGGGCACTTCACAGACCCACGTGCGCTCGCTACAGGAGTGGGTTGTTCAGGGTTCAGGGCTCGAGGCTTCCCTGTGGCGGTCAAAAATGCTGAAGCCTCCCCCCTAAACCCTAAACCCTAAACCCTAAACCCTAAACCCTAAACCCTAAACCCCCCTTGCCCCCGATCACCAGAATCACGGCGGGCGGCCTGCGATTCCTGACCTGAGTGGCAGTACGGATGGCCAAGCAATCAGAGCTTTCGGACCCGAGTGCACGAGCTCGGCAGGTTTTCCGTTTCCCTTCGAGGTAGGGGTGTGAAAGCCATGACCAGCAGTTCAGGCTCATCTGCTTCGGCAACCCTGCGGCTAGAAGAGGGGCTCTCTGTAAAACCTCAAGATTTAGCACACGTGGAGGTAGTCAAAAACCTGTACAGACAATGCCTGCGAACTAACCCAAGCCGCCCCCCCCCCCCCCCCCGCCCCCCAGCTTCGAACAAAGCCTTTTGACCATGACAGCCCAATGCTAGGTTTGCTTTCACAGGTTGATTTCACATCCCCCCCTGGAACAAAGACTCACAGGCTCGAAGAGCCGCACACCCACAAACCTCACGATCTTCTGCAGATCTTCAGCCCCAAACCTCACGCACGTGCACGTAACACGCCTCCGAACCCTAAATCCTAAACCCTAAATCCTAAACCCTAAACCCTAAACCCTAAAAACATCCCTGCCATCCCCTGGACAGCCCAGCCGATGGAGAAGTAGTTGACCATGTGGAAGGTCTTGCTCGCCACCTCCAAGTGCTCCTCCACCTCCACCTTTCAAGGGGCGTGGGGGCTTCTTTTTTTGGGGGAGGAAAAAATGCCTCTGCTTTTTCGAAACATTCAAGCTTTCCGGAGATTCCCCCTCCCCCTCCCAGCCATCTCCACCCCCTCTGTTCCCTATGCCTGCTTCTCGGGCTCAGAGCTCCAGATTCTGGATGCTCCAGAGGGTTCAAGGCTTTGATTTTACAGGGCTAGATGGGCTTCTCAACTCTTTTCCAAAAGCTGCTCGATTTATGTCTTGTGGAGTGTTGAGTGTGACAGGCAGGATGAGGGTGCAGAGCTTGTGCTTGCGGCCGTTAAAGGCTTCGGACTTGTCAGAGTGCTGAGGCTGGACGGATGTTGCTGCAGTTGCTGCATGCTTCTACTTCCCGAATTGAGTTTGATAAGGTCTGGTTTTGGGCTTTCCCACATGCAAAGCCGAAGCCCCCAGGCTGCGATCAATGAGAGGCTTCGGGTTCAGGGCTTTGGGTCTGTTCAGCAAGTGGCATGCTGCATTAACCGCATCCAGGCACTTCTAATGACTTTTTTGCTTGTGGAACTGGGTATTTCAAGGGTCTCTTCGAGATACGCAAGAAGCCTGCACGGGGCTCTGCAGAGAAAGGCGCAGCAAGCAACCCTACAACAGCAGGCAGCTCCGTGGCAGACTTCCACAGCACTGCCGAACAAATCTCAAAGCTCCCAGCTCCAAGACCCTGATCCTCTGTAAAACCATCAAGGGCCACCTTCTCCTTGCCAATCTTCAGGAGCTGGCCATCGTTGTGATCAAGGTTGACCGTCACCTGCGCATTCGATTTGGCCTTTTTGGCTTGCTTTGCTTCAGGGCCCGTGTCGTCAGGTCCCAAGCAGCCCCTGCACCCTAAACCTCGGCTCTGTAAGGCAGGAGCACCCCAGGCAGCAATCGAGCGCAAGATCTCAAGACCTAAGAAGCTGAGGCCTTGAACCCAAGCCACTCAGGGTTTTTGTTTTAACGTTAACACCCTGAAACCCTCAATAGGGTTTCCTAAACCCTAAACCCTAAACCCTCAAATGGGTTCATGGTTTCTAGCACTTTGCCTCCCAAACGTCGTGGTGTCGGATCGTGGCATTGGCCCATCTCTTGACCTGGCAGTGTGGAGGGACTGTTCAACCTAAGGGTTTAGGGTTCAGGGTTCAGGGTTTAGGGTTCAGGGTTTAGGGTTTAGGGTTTAGGGTTTAGGGTTGGAGCTCCAGTTTCATACCAAGAAGTGAAGATCCTGGATGTGTCTTGTCTTGTGCCCTTTGCTCGAAAGCCCAAACAGCCCGCTACTGTACCTGCTGGGGCGCCCGGCCAGCTTATGCAGGAGCTCCCAGTCGTTGTCTGCTATTCCCTCGGGGTTGTTTCCACCTGGGCAATTCCACCCTTTGGGAAACCACAAAGCTCTAACAACCCCTCAAGTCTGAGTCGCTGCAATCCTAAGCCTACAGATCGCTTGCTTGCGATTTTGGCTTTGAACTTTCTTGGACTTGGGCCACAGCCTCCTACGTGTGTGGTTTTTTCCGAGAAGAGGCAGCACAGCAACAGAGACATTTACACTACAGTTAACAAGCCCCGCCTCAAGAAAACCGCCACCCCTACATCAATTATTGCAAGTGGGGTTGTTAGATTCTAAGGCATTTTAGAGACATAGCGGCGCACATCAGGTGATGTGACGTACTCAGAACAGCAGGCAGCACAACAGTCAGGACAAAGAAGGCGGGCAACATCGAGCAAATGTACTTGCTCATGGCGGTGCCTTAAATAATGGCAACTGTATGCAAATGTACGCATAAAACGATGCTTCAACAAGCAGGCCAGGGAGGCCCAGGCAGCAAGTGTACCGAAAATCTTACCTTAACAAGTAAGCAGGAGGTTGCCTTGATAAGCAGGTGCTCTGGCCCCGGTCTGCACGCGGCAGGGGGCGCCATGAGTGAATGTCGCACGCATGTGCGCCATCGTCTCGCTTGTTGCTTGTATGTTGTTGTCGGAAATATCGGAATCTCCCAAACCCGGGCCAGAAACTCGGAACCAGCATGGAAACAACAGCAAACTACTCCCTTCCCAACACTGCAAGTTAGGTAGGTAGGTAGGTAGGAGTCGACCTGCGGAACAGCCGCGGCCACCACCACTCTTCCCCTCCCAGCATCTCAAGGGGCCTCCGATAGCCACTGCAAGTTAATACCTTTGCAGTTGGGTGTTAGGACTGTTAGGAACAAGGCGGGGCTTCTCGAAGTGGTACTTTGGCTTGAAACGTCGCAGTCCAGGTCATGCCAACACTAGGCTAGTTTTCGGCCGCGAAACGTCAAGATTTCCTTCCCTGGTGCCCTGAGTCTTAACATCCTCAACACTGAACAGCCCAATCAGTAGCCCAATCTGCATCCTTTGTGGTGGTACGAGTTTGTCCTCTTCCCGCGGTGATCTGGATTGGGGAATGGATTTGGCGAGAAGAAGTATTCCCCCCTGGTCGTGGGGTCAGAAAGGTTCATCAGGCACACCTCAACCTTTTTGGAGTGAATTGAAGCAGGTGGGCTTAATCGCTCGCTCTTCTGCTTGTGGCTGGCTTCATGTGCAGAACGAACCAACAAAAAGGACGCCAGAGACATTGAGAGCGAACAGGTTCGAGTCACCACAAGGTGGAAGTGCAGAGTGCAGTTAAAGCATGAGCATGAGCTCCGAGCCCGTCAACGGACAAACATTCCGAAGCCTACGATGCACATCTAAACGGGTTTCAAGCTTCGAGCGAGAGCTGCAGAACCTGAGGTGAGAGTGGACCACATGAAGCTGCGATCTCGAGAGCGGCGGAACCCATGTGTGCGCCCCAGGAGATCGAACAGGAGTGCAAGAACAGCCTGCGGGCCCGCCAACTTCGGAAACGCTCACTGTCGCTCAGGTCAGGCTGCCAACGCGTCGGCACCCAGCTCTGTGGAATCGAAGGAATCTAAGGTCTCCGTCACTGGCTTCGTCTGTGATCAGCAAACCTTGAAGTTCGCAAGAAATTTTCACACATAAGGGGCAAAATTGCTGTAGCAGGTAATGGTGGGCTTACTCGACAGCCAGATGTAAGACATCGAGGAATTGAAGGAGTTCACCCGGCTTGTCGGTGGCACTCCGAAGGCGAAAGCATGTCGAGTTTTTCAAGAGAAAACACCTTGATACGTTAAACCTTTCACTTCATTGTATATTCAACTCCTCAACTTGAAAGAATCCCTTGAAGAACTTTTTGTGTTCATGGACTGTCGCCAGGGAGCACATACGAGCTCCTTTGTACCCTTGCGCTTCCGGTGTAAACCCGAGAAGCGGGGGCTTTTTGACTCGACTCCAATCAAGCGAAGCAAGTCTCAGCGCTGCACCCCACCCTGCTACGCGAGAGAAGTCGTTGCCAGTGCCCAGGGGCACAATGCCCCACCTGGAGAGAAGCTGAGAGCATGAGGTCGGCACTCGAGTGGGAGGTGCTTCCCTTAAGGCCCTAGGGTCTTGTCAGCACAAGACCAAGACCCTCCAGACCTCAACGTGTTTAACTGATGCTGAACAAAGCAAGATCCTCAACTAGGAAATGGTGCAGCCAGTAACGAGTAATGTTGTCTGGGTAAGAGTAGGCGCATGGGAACCTAGTTGGCATTTTGACGAGAGCCTCCAGCCCCAAGGACTCAAGACTCAATTTCCTGAGGCTCACAAGCCAGGCCCCACGTTGCAGAAAGCCACAGAGCAAACTTCCATAAACCCTAAACCTTAAACCCTAAACCCTAAACTCTAAACCCTAAACCCTAAATTTTAAAACCCTAAACCAGCCTCTTGGAGCTACACGCAACCCCAAAGCTTGTACTGAGGTGAGGTAAGGTTCCGGCGCGACCTGTGTCGGCGTGTGGATCCCATGCTTTTGCGCCTTCCACAAATGTCTAGGGTTAGGGTATAGGGGTTTGCGCAAACGTTCCAAACACGGTCCGGGGAGGGCCCACCCTTTTTTTGCAGTACAAACCTTTCATATGGTTTGCTCGGTGCCAATTTCTGGGTGCTCAGTTCAGCTTCGAGATCTCACTTTTGAACGCAGTTCAGATATCAAGGGGGGGGGGGGAGTTGGGGAGTTCCAACTTAAGAGCCTCACGCAAAACCACAGAACGTTAACTTTGCCTTAACTTTGCCTCGCAGAGGGGCCACCCAAATCGTACACAACCTCTCTGTGCAAGCTGGGCTTCCTTTGGGGGGGTTCTGCTACGACAAAAGGGCCGGCAGAGCTCTTGAAATGGTCCAGGATTTTGCGGCGTCTGCGCCTGCCTTCTTGCATGCTGAAGCAAAGATCCGGGCTCTTAAGGCTCTTAAAACCCTAAACCCTAACTAAACCCTAAACCCTAAAGCCTACGCAACTCAGAATCTGATTTCCTTCCGGGTTCCCCATACAAATCCGAGACTCGGCGCCTCCGAATCTGCCCACATGACCTGCAGCCATGGGCTTTTGTTGGCGCTTTCGCTTTCGGGCTCGGGGGCACCCAAAGGCCCCCCGAAACGGGGTGGAATCTGAACTTCGAGGGCGCCCTGGGGCAGGACACTCTGAGAGCTTCCGAGCAGACCCACACGCATTGCGCGGCGCAAAGGCAAAAGTTCGCAGGGGCAACGGAAAACAATCCGACCAGGGGTTTTTACAATGTTGGGAGGCTGACGCTGGGAAGAGTAAGCGCAGCCCAAAGTTGGAGACCCACTGTGGGCTCCATTTGCAGTCTTGATGGCTGCTAAGTGCCTTCTCCCCTTGCCTCAACCCTAAGCCACCCACCCTAATCCCTGAACCCTAAACCCTCTGCTTCGAGCTTGCTCAGCTCCTCACAGTTCCATCGCCGCCACCGACGATGGCCCTCACGGGCGCGCCAGCTCGACGGGCGATGACCTGTCCGAGCCCTTTTGTGGCTGCTGCTTGGGATGTTCCCCCTTGTACTAGCAGTCCTTAATTGCGATTTTCATAGGGGTGCTATGTTAATCCCTATTAGTATAAGGGGAACATCCCAAGCTGCTCTGCTTTCAACTATAAACGTAGCTGTAATTGTCTGGTTCTTCATCTATGCCAGGCAAGAGAGGGAAGAGGTGGAGAAGGACAAGGGGATGGAGGCGGTGTGAACGAGCCCGAGCATGGTAGACCTGATTCTGCCCAGAAAACGACGTGCTTTGTTCCTTCTATCCATCTTGCAACCCGCACCTCCAAATTGGGTATGTGACTCATAGGTACTTGTATGCTACTATAGCGCGGCAGCCGGCGCGCCTCTCCAAGAGAAAGAGAGATGAAGCGAGAGTTTCCCAAGAGTCCCCTCGAAAGTCCATATGGGTTTCTCTTGTGCGAGGTTAGCTGTAAGGCCGGTTATCAACAGTGCAAAGCTGCTCTTGGCAAGTGTGAACCAGGGCTTGGTGTGTTTATGACGTGGGGGGCCGGGCAACCTTGCGGCGGCCATTCATTTGCGGGAGTGGAAGCGCAAGCGTCTTGGGGGAGACGCTGGAATCGGAACTGCACTGCGATGCTTTCGAGTTGTTTTCTTGGAAGAGCCTTGGCGCTTGGCAACTTTGCAACTCGAGCTCATCGCAGCCTTGTTTGCCTCATGGTGGGAGGAGTGGCCCTTTACCGGGGAAGACGCACCACCTTTAAAAGACCGTCTCAAAAGCACTGGCGGCTACCTCCAGACTGATGCGGAAACGCTGCCGAAGAATCGAGTCTGCCGGAAACTGTTGTTTGCCGCACGAGCGGCTCGTGCGGTGATGCGTCGAGCTTTTTCGAACGAAACCGAATGTTGTTTCGTCGTGATGTGCTATTCTTGTCGTGCTCCTGCCCTACTCTCGCACGAGCCGCACCGGAAGAAGCAGCACAGAGAACCATCCAGCTCTGCCTCCCCCTCAAACAAAGCAACCCAAATCCATCATTATTGTGGGTTGAACCCCAACCCCCCCCCTTCTTTCTGGACCTCAAAGTGTGGCATCTCAACAACGCCCTGACAATCCTTGAAGAACGAGACGCACACTGACACAACAACGAAAGTCGCCTCTCTGAGCTTGTGAAAGCCCGGCTTGTTGCCAGGTGGTCCATCCAGCATCGAGTATATGTGGAGGTTCACCTTCTTGGCGGCAACGTGGAAGGTGTTCCGGGTTTGGGTGTTTATATCCCTAAACCCTAAACCCTAAACCCGAAACCCTAAACCCTAAACCCTAAACCCTGCTTGGGGTTGGAGGTTGAGTTGCTTTGATCGGTGGTTGATGTGGGATCTCTGGGCGAGGTAAGGCTGAGACAGGACCTATTGAATGAAGACGGGACTGAAAAAGGCGGCGGCGTAGGCTTTGCAAGTCTCGTGTTCAGTGCTAGTGCCATTATTACATTATTACGACATTAACCCTGAAGCCTAAACCCTAAACCCTAAACCCGAAACCCTAAACCCGAAACCCTGAACCCTGAACCCTAAACCCTAAACCCTAAACCCGAAACCCTAAACCATAAACCCTCAGCATCCCTCAGCCCTAAAAGCTAACCCTAAGGTTCGGGTTCGGGGTGTTGGGCTTCGGGGTCATTGGAGGGCTGCGATAAGCCATGAGGGGGAGAGTGAAGGAACACGTCCCCGCCTTCTTGTTGTCTGGGCCCTCAGCCATAAAGGGCTGCGGAGCGTCCAGGAAGACCTGCAAACAGCCAGCTGAGGGCTGAGATTGAGGCTTCAGGGAATGAGGACAACCAACAAAGAACACAACAAAGAAGACAACAAAGAAGACAACAGAACAGACAACAAAATCAACAAGGAAGGCAACGAAGAATACAGAAGACAACAAAGAAGACAAGGAAGACAACAAAGAACACTTAGCAAAGCAGGTACGCTCGAGCGAGCTCTCGCTTAATCACTTGCACACAGAGCAGGACAAGCACAGAAGGGAGCCCTTCCTTTTTCCTGCTCAGGCATGGGGTCGAGCAGAGGAAAATTGAACATCCAAAGCAACATCTGCTCGCCCTGTGCCGATCCTGGCACGGGACCATCTGAGCTCTGCAGAAAGAGGAATCACAACCAATTCAATCCCGCCGCTCTGTTGAAAGCCCTGGTTCCTGAAGCAAAGGCTCCAGGTGAGAACACCCTCAAGCCCAAATCTGTTGTCTCAAGACCCTTACAATAGCCCAGCATAGCCCAGCGTGCACCAGCATGCGCAAGGAAGTCCTCCCAATTTGGGAGGCACCCTGGAAGCAGGCCCCGCCGCGGCGGTGGCAAGGGCCCTTGAGGGTGAAGGGGCTCGGTTCAGGATTGCGGTTCAGGCTGGAGGACTTGAGGGCTGCAGTTGTGAGCCCGGCACCCATGCACACATGCACAGCCAGGGGTCAAAAAAGAGCCCCAGCCCTCCCCAAGCGCGGGGGAGTCCTGGCTGCGGCGCCGCGGGCAGGGCAGCCACCTCAGGAAGTACGGGCCTTTAAGGCCTCAGGGTTCAGAGATGCTCAGCCTTCGAAGCACCCATAAGCATCCACGATAGTTGAGTTGCGGCTTCCGAAGTAGGAGGCAAAAACGCGCAGCATGCCTGTTCCACCAAGAGTGTGGTCACCCCACCCCTAATTCAGGCCTCCTCTTCTCTTACACGTTGCACCCTCTCTTTCAGAGATTGCTGAACATGGGTTTGCTTGCCCCGCATTGGCAGCAAACCGACACTGGTAAGCGGTTAAAGCTATGTATAAATAAATAAACATATATATATATGTGTATATATATATATGTGACTGGTGAAAGCTGTTCGCCTCTCCGCGTTCGCAAAAGCACAGCATCCGCTCAAGAACGATGAGGCCCCATAGAGCTCATAGCCGTCCCCACCGAAGTCCTCCGCATGTTCGGGCTTTCGGGCTTTCAGGGGACTCTAGGGCCTAGGGTCTCTTCTAGCCCGCCTTGCACCCAAACACCCACTACACGAAACCCTCAGTTGGGCCCCCCACCCCCCCGCCCCCCTCGCTGTACTCCGCACCCTCACCGGCTTCCTCCGACCACTCGTGCCTCATGAATGGGGAGGTTTAGGGTTCATGTAGGGGTAGGTTCACTTTTTTCTAGTGACTACAGTTTGTTTAGGAAGGCGGAGCCTCCCTACAGGCGTTTACGGCAGGTGGCACCCTGAACCCTAAACCGCAAGACCTGGCGCCAGCCCAAATTCCTTACAGTGAGGCGCTCCCCGTCATCTTGTTGAATGGACTCGTCCACCTTCGGTCGCACGAAGCCTACTTAGGAATCATGGAATTAGGGAGTTTAGGATTTCGGTTCAGGGATTTAGGGAGTTTAAGCGCAATCACTTGAAGTTGAGCACAATGCGTTCGCACTGTTGTTGAATGTGAGCAGGGTCTTTTCGGGGAGTCTTTTCGTTGCGGGGCCCCCGTGAGGCAGCCCCCCCCCCCCGCAGAAAACCAAACCAGGAACAAGCATGATCTCACACCAGCACGTCAAACCCAACGCATTCGTTCAGCACAATACCTGGAACAGTTGGTCGGCAGCCGCGTCTGCAGCAGGTGCCTGCCGGGGGCGACTGGTCGGTGGGGGATCCCATGGCATCCCCCCATAACTGAAGCAAATAGAAACCCGGGGCTGCTGTGGGTGCGGCTTCATTGAAAACACCTGGAAGGAGGATAGCATCATATAGCATCTAAAGAGGGTCCAACTCATGGTTCTGGCATGATTCTGGGGCGGCGCATCCCTGGTTAGCAATCTGCGCACCTGGGCCAAGCCGTTTTCGGCAGCATCAGGCACGAGGCCAAAGGAAGTCTCCTCGGGGCCAACGCCATTGCAATTGCCAGAAAAACCTGGAACTGAACTACTGATCACATGAAAACCGGCTTGGCCCCGCTCCGGCCGCCCACAGAAGAGCCACTGGATGGCATCCTGGGCTTCGCTTACCCCCTCTCCGAAGCTCGAACCAGAACCGAAGATCAGGGTTTAGGACGATAAGGATGGTTTGGGGGGGTGGGGATTTCTGGGCTCGAGGCTTCGTGGATCCTACAAAGACTACGACTAGTTCTGAGAGAAGCATTTGGAATCCCAATCCCTATAAACCCTTTGAACCCTAAACCCTTTAAACCCTATTCGCCCCCCTAGGCCCTCAACCCCATAGCCGCCACAGCGGTAAGCCTGCAGAACCTCGAAAGCCTATAAACCCAAACCTCAAACCCTCTTTGGCCGAAGGGCCCCAAACCCAGGGCCGTTCTTTCTTTTGGCAGTATTATAGAGCTGGACGGGGCCGTAGTTGCAGTTTAGGGTTCGGGGTTTGAGGACGTGGGACTTGGGATTCCCCAAGTCAACAGCTGGGCCTGCCAAAGAAGGATAGCTCGGGTGGCTCCATGGCGCTGGCAGGGTAAAGTATAATCACAGGCGAGGCATAAGGGGGGCAAGATAAGGGGGGTATATTCGGTAAAGTCATGAGTTCGCCCGGAAGTAGGCGACCTAACGGTAAAGTGAACTCCGAAGTCCTGGGTTGGTTTTTTCATAAGCACCTGACGGCCTTACATTCATTATGTTGCTATCACATTTTGTTTATGCTAGGGAAAGGCTTTCCGAAAGCTGCAAACCCATAACCCTAAACCGTGACTACATTCAAGGGCCTAGAAAGATTGAATAACAAAACTCATGGTCATAGTAAAACTATTGTGTACTCGATCTAGTACTGTGCAAATGATTGCACACGCAACTCCACTAAGCCACTAAGCGTGAGCCACAAGTCTCTGCGCACGGTTTCTCATTGCATGGTCCACGCACGGGCCTAGAATCTAGTAATTAAACCAAAACAGGTCCACGAAGCACAGAAGCAGAGTTGAACAAAAGCACTTTCATGCCCCCGTGCAATAGGTGCTCCGTCATCTCGGCTACAAGACAAGCTTTTGTTCCGAAAAGCACCAACTATAGAAATACACTGGGCAAGAAAGACATGGATGACCCGGAGTTTCCTTCTTCGCAACGGAGGCAGCTGGCACGACGGCGCGTCTCACTGGCTTCTGAGTTCTCAGGTTGGGAAATGCTGCGGACCAAAAGACTCACGCTGATATAACAGGCAAACCATATCTCATTCGCCAACATGGTGTACCATTCGCCTGAAGTTTTATAGAATATAGACAGTATAGACATAGAGGTTCCAGGGCCAGGGTAGAGAGAGAGGAAGAAGAAGCACTTGGTGATCCCATCTGAGTTGTCACGGGGCAACAAGCTAAACCCTGATCCCCAAAATGGCACCGGTAGAACATTAAGCATTCACGCCCTGAACCCTCAACCCCAACCCCTCAACCCTAAACCCTTTAACCCTTTCCCATTACAGCCTGAATGCAACGGTAATTAAGGAGTGTCCCAATGGAAAACATGTTCAAGCATCTGGCGGGCTTCGGGCTTTGGGAGATCCCGCGCGGGAAGTTTTTCATTCGAACTTCACATCAGCCATGGATGAAAAACTCTGGCCAGCAGATGGGCAGCTTTGCCTCCCCCGAGCGGGAACGCAGTTCGCGAAGAGCCGCTACATTCAGGTCCGTTCCCGGGAGCTGGAGCTTCTCGACGATCTGTGTGATCTGGTTGATGAGGTTGGAGGTGGCACTATCGCAACCGCGGACTTTGTTCTTCTGCACGACTGCGAACCTCTGGGTCGGGATCCAGTCGTCTGCCCCCACACATGCAGAGACCTCCGCCTCGGTCGCGAAAGGGCCAAGGCATCAACGTCCTCAAGTGAGGCTTTCCAAATGGACCTCAACTCGTCAGAAACCGAACCCGCTTAAGGATCTTAGCCCGAATTTCCCAGGCCCGAGCCAGAGCATGCTCAATGGAAAGGACCGTCTGCTGTTTCTCATAAGTCGGCCAACGACCGGATTGCGAGATCGGTCCCACGATCGGGAAACCACGCAGCAAGAGCTCAGGCAAAGCTTTGTCGAGCGAGCCTGCCCGAAGCAACAAGGCCTTGTAGAGAGCGACGTGGCAAGTCACACCCAATTGGCAGGGCCGCCCGTCAGCTTGTCCACGAAGGAGACGACGAAGAGCAGGATCAGGAAGCGAATCGATCATTCGTGCGGTGGATGGCAGCAGGAGCTCGGCCAGCTGTTTCCAGAAGTCCAGATCCCGACGGCGAGCGGAGTTCAGAGCCGCGCCTTGCGTCGTCACCAGTTGAGTTTTGTCAAGGAGCTGCTGGGAGAGGGGCGGCGGCACTGAGAACGGGCGGTCGACCTTGAGCGCCCACGCGATCGCCTCGCCGGGCTCGACTTCGCAATCCAGCAGGGGCTTTACAGCCCCCCTCTTGAGCTGGTAGCCTGCTGCTTGCGCAAGAGCGGCGCCGTGGGCCTGACGACGCAGTTTCCAAGCAGCGGCCTGGCCCACCACCAGCGCAAAGCTGCGACAGAAAACTGAGGGCACGAGCGGTTATGGATGTGATGCACCGCCCTTGCCAGCGTTCGACACAGCGGCTGGGGGTAGACCTGAGCTGCCTTAGTGGAGCAGACCCAACGGCCACGCCAGAAAGTCTTACCGAGCAGCTTCTTGCGCTGATGGCGTCGCGAGCAGGTACGCATGCCCTGCCCGGATGCTGCATGGGAGATCAGAAACCGTGCGGGCTTCTTGGAGTTGGCACCAAACTCGCACTGATCCAAGTAGGCGAACTGCAGCGCGAACTTTGCCATGAGCTCCATCACTGGCGGAACAAGCCACATAATGCTATCAGCCGGGTTCTCGAGAGAGACATCTCCTCCCGTTTGTAACACTGCTTCCATGAGCTCGATGGAGAGAAAGAGCAGATGGTTGCCAAGCCAAAGATCGTCATGCTTACTTGGATCAAGGCCATCCAGACCGAGAGGTTGGCCTATTGAACGAAGTGGCACTGGCCCTGGTTGTCGTGCACGAACAATGCTGAAGGTGCCGCAGGGCGTTCCGAGATGCAAGAAGAACACGGCCCCTGCGAGCAGAAGGGTGATGAGGAAGCCGAAGAAGGCGGCGTCCATCAGGTCCTGCGCCACGGGTACGTAGACTGAGACGAATCAGCATTCAGCTGCGAACGGGCAGCGTCAACCGCTGACTCACAGAACACATTCCCATGTGGATTCCGTTGAGGCGGCGGCGGCCCCTCCGCCGGAGCAGAAAAGTCCCCGGGCGGAGGGGCCAGCGCCTCTCAATGGTTCCCATGATAGGGGTGCTTCTGACCACACTGCACGCAAGAGTGATCATCTTTGCATGAGTCACCGAAGCGGCATCCCAGGGAACAGTTGTACCAGGGGCAACGCTTGCGACCTGTGTATGTGAACGACATGAGCTTCTTCCACTCCGCTTCAGGCACGCGCGTGTCACGGGCAAGGAGCTTAACTCGTCCTTCGGCACCGCGATCTTTGCCCCTGCCTTTTCCACTTGCTTTCTCCTCTTTGAGCTGCTTGAAGAGCTGCTTCTGCTTGTCCCGTTTGGCTTTGTTGCGACGGGCCCGAGCTGCTTTGTCCTTTGGGATGGCGGCTTCCGGTGTAGGCGAGCGCGAGCGCTTGACCCCGCGCGCCCCCACATCGAATTCCATATTTGTTTGACCTTGTCCAACTCGGCGGCTGAGCGAGCATCGTTCCAGAGCTGCTTACGGTGTTCCAGCACCTGCAGCAGAGCTGCTGAGAAGGTGGGGTAGTCCTTGCGCTTGTCGTTGTTGAGCTTGTAGACCTTGCGCCGGAGGAGGGTGTCTGCCGACAGCAGAACTGCTAAGCCGCGGTTCTCATGACGCCACTCTTCGAGCTCAGCCAAGTAGCGAAGAGGACCCGCCGCAAAGGAGAACTCGCAGATGTTGAGGAACTCCAGCGCCACGAAGAAGGCGTGAAGACGGTCCATGACTTGGGACTCCGAGGCGATGGCGGATTTGGAGTCTGTTTGGACCACTCGCAGGAGATCCTCCGATGTTTTGGCCAAACTAGCTGTTTGGACGATCGTCTCGTTACGAGTTCGCATCTCGGCGACCTCGTAGAAGGCAGCCCCGTGGTTGTGATAAGTGAGGAGCACGTCGGGGCGCGCCGCCACAAAGAGCTCCCCCGGGGATCTCCGGCACTTTGCTGGGTTCCTCTTCCATGCGAGCGCGTCGAGCCGAGACATGCTCCTGGGGCCGCCGGCGAAGGTCCGAACTTGTTGGACGATCGCCTTCATGGTGGTCTTGACAACTGCAACGGTGTCCCCGAGCATGGAAAGCGTGGCCACCGTATTGAGACCATTGTCCGCAAGGAGCAAGCACAAGGGCTCTGGCAGACGATTCCTGCCAAAAATCTGCCGAACGGCCAATTCCGGGATTTTGTCGTCGGGGTACAGAGTGCGATCCACCATGATGGCGAGCAATGCGAAGGAGAGATGGGAGCTGCGAGCCACGGCTGCCTGTCTCTTAAAGAACAACAAAGAGGACCCAACTCGGGAGGGTCGGGAGGGAACAGAAAAGATCACAATCTTTAACTCAAAGCTGGGTCAAGCGAGCTCGACATTATGCGCGCGCAACGTCAGGCCGAGCGCGTGCACAATGCTTACAAAAAAAGTTGCACATCTGGTAGCAGCGCACCGATGTGAACACAGTCCTCAGCGCGGGCACGACCACAGGCGCTCGTCTGCATGTCTTCGGCCGAGCACACATGGATCTTGCGCTCATAAGCGGAGCCTTTCTTAGGATTCTTGGTGAAGAACTCCGTCGCGCTGAGCTCGAAGTCCTCCCCGTCGTCGACCTCATCGTCGGGGAGAACGCATTTGGGATCGTGGCGTCGTTTGTAGTCCGCCACAATGTCTTTGACCACGTTGGCGGACACACCTGTCCGCGAGCGAGCGTACTTCTGGACGAGCGGGCATGGATTCTTCCAGTTGGCCTGAAGGCCAATGCTAGGAGCTTGATGTCCCTGTCGGACCGCTTGATCCAGCAGTGTCACTCTACATGAGTGCCACTTGAGAGCGGGGATCGCCGTCAGGATGTCCTGGTTCAGCTGAGCATCATGACCGACACGCCAAAGACAGTGAACGAGCCATTGCAGGGACCTGTCATAGGCTGGGGCGTGACTTGTGAAGGCCTCCCGGGTGTTGAGCTCGGGCACCCAGAAGTCCCTATCCAGATCCCCAGCAAAGTGAGCTTGGAACAAAGACCAGCCAGCGCGAAGCCACGGAACATGACCAAAAGAAACATCGGGGACCAAGAACTTGGTGCCTCGGCGCTTTCGTTCTGTTTTTGTTTGCCATGAAACTCCGAAGAGGCCCTCCTCGTTCATCTCGAGCTCATTGGGCTTCACATGAACAGCATCATCAAACCTGAGAGAGGCCATGATCACGCACGTGACGCACCAGAGGAAGATGCGCACAGTGATCGCCATCTCCAAAGCCACCACGGGAGGAAGTGGAAAAGCCGGTGCCTCCTTGAGCGGCTTGCCCCTCTTATCAAAGATCTGTTTCTCAAGGGCGAGGATCCTAGCATCGTCCAGATCCGGGATCCAAGTCGATACGGAAAGCGACCCACTTTATGGCTGTCCGGAGGGACGGCAGAACGGTGGGGCCACATTCCTTGGAATCCAAGTACAGGGTACACTTAAGGATTCTATCCACAGAGATGGGGTAGAGCGGCATAGCGATCGAAGCCGCCCAATCCTCAAGTTTCTCATACCTGCGAATATGGCCTGCCATGGTACTCGGCGCCCCTGATGTGAAAACCAGACGCCGAAGACGAGCCTTTTCCGCGGACGAGAGCACCTCTGCAGCTGGCGGCCCACCTGAGGGCGACGCATGATCGCCGGCCCTCTCGGCTATCATCTTCAACCGTTGAGCCCACTTCTGCTTCTCAGCCAGCTCTTGATCAAGAAGCGGAGTTGTAGACGAGCTTGCAGGTTGGTTGATCAACCTGGCTTTCGGCCTCGGAAGCTTGGGGGGCGGTAGAAGGGTCTTCACGACTTCGAGCGGGCACAGAGGCTTGACTTAACTCGCCGAAGCCTCTTTTGAGAGCATGGCCGGCGCCAGTCTGCAAAGCGACCGATTCATCGAACCATGACTCAGAGGCCTTGATTAAAACCCAGAACTGCTCAAGCATCTGTGTTCTTTCTGCTAGCGCAGTATGGACCTCTGGCTGATCGTCCTTGATCAGACTCAGATATTTGGCAGCAAACTCTCCCTCAGAGGCGAATCGAGCGCCAGCACAAAGTGAAAGCTTGCCAGCTCACACGCGAGCGCTGCTTCCCGAAACCCGTTGTCAAATTTCGGCCAGGAAACTACTTTCCAAAACCAACGATCGGCACCCTTGACTTTCAGAGCCATGTTCAGGACTGCGGCAGAACAAGCCCGTTCAGTCAAACGCACGCAAGCACACACGCAAACAAACACACACACACACACACACACACACACACACACACACACACACACACACACACACACACACACACACACACACACACACACACACACACACACACACACACACACACACACACACACACACACACACACACACACCACACACACACCACACACACAC